AGACAGACAGGCAGGTAGGCAGACAGACACAGACAAACGAATGGACGGACAGATGGACGGACAAAGGCAGAGGCAGTAGCGGAGACAGAGAAAGAGCGAGAGAGAGAAAGAGAGAGAGAGAGAGAGAGAGAGAGAGAGAGAGGGGGAGGGAGAGGGAGAGAGAGGGAGAGAGAGAAGGGGTAGCTGATCGTTAACGACTAAACGATAGAGTCTGAACCAAAACAAAACAAAACAGATCAATGCTATCTAACTTTTGGCTTCCAATTCAATCAATTTGACGGGAAAACTTAGCCTACTTTATTTTCTAATATTTAGATCGACGGTAACGACGACGATGTCAGCAGCAGCAACAACAACAACAAAAATAACAGCAACAACAACAACAAGGGCAACAATAACAACAACAACAACAGATAAAACAACATTATTGGCACAAGCGGTTGAGCAACTAAAATGATCATATACTAAGTTTTCAAAATACATACCAAAAAAAATACATTTTAAAGAAAATATTTTGTTTTCCAAACAGAATCAGTTACGTGTTCACCCGTGTGGTTCTCGGGGCCCTGTCCAAGAGACAAGGGAGCAAAGAATAGGGCCACTGTATCCGTACCGCGCAAGTCGTAGAAGGCGACTAAGAACAAGAATAAAGATGAAAGTAATTTTAAAAAAAATTATTTTAGAAATATGAAATATTAACGCAATCTTCAGATTGTCGCGCAATTGTACGATTGTTAAAACGCGCAGCGAAAGATTGCACCGCTCGGTAAAATGTGCGGACAAATCACTTAGGTAACATCGATACCTTGGAATTACAGTTCTATCTTGCATTTTTTGACCGTTTTGAGTATCTAAGAGTTCAAGACCATAGGGTTAAGGGTAGAAACCAAATCAGCTCTGTCAAAATCGTAGGATTATTCGGAGTCGTTATCTATACATTCAAAGAACTGCATTAGAAAAAGCTTGACATAATAATATCATTGTGAAACTCAAAATTTCTAACGTCATATTTCACAAAAGTAGGTATTGAGCAGATAAAACGTTGTAATTCTAAGGTAGCGTTCTAGTACATTTTATAGACGTACTGAAACTTGGTGGGTGATTGGAGGGCGCCACTGGTACTGGAAGGTCCTACTTCTTTTCTTTCCTTCCGTTGTTTCTGTCCTTCCATGTTGCTTTTACCGTACACCAAATGACGATTACTATGCTTTTTACCATCAACAAAACTTTTAAAATCAGTTAAGGAAGCGATGTATTGGGTTTTTTGGGGGGTTTTGGGGGGTTTTGGTTTTTTTTTTTTTATTTGTTTGTGTTTTGTTGTTGTTGTTTTGCCTACAAATAATCATTTTCAAAACAGTTCATCTTGTACGGGAGGCATGGCTTAAATTCAACGTCCATCTTCTATAGAGAACAGAATGAAATATCTTAACAGACCCGATTTAACACTGATTGTTATTTAGTTAATAAATAAATAACACCTGGATTATACGCCCAATGATCTGGTGTCTTTCCTGGTGCCCAAAGGACAGGCATGCACTCAGAACAGCCTCCGTGGGTTATCTTCAAGTGTTTCAGGTGGTCTCTCTCTCTCTGCTAATTTATTGGATTCCAGTTGAATCATCTCTCCCCTTATGCTTTGGCTTTGGTATCCTTCTGTATATTTGAACAATTACTAATAGTCTATAGGTAATGCGCAATAATAATAATAATTATCATTTGATTTTTATAGTCTCTCCGCCTGCTGAGATAACTCGTCTTTGCTGTCAGTTCAGTTAATAGCTGGGGTGCGAGTTTTCAAAGTTTTCATTAAAAGGACGTTTTTTGTCGGCATGAAGTAATTTAAATTAAGATTTTTTACTTCTTCTCAGCATAACTTCGGTTCTAGAACAGATATCTTCGAAATATAAAATGTAAAATACCCTGGAAAGTCCAAGCAATGGGATAGTAGCCAAAGGTCAAAATGTCTAGATGATGTTACATTCCCAATTCTTGTCCCACATAAAGGTTACCGCTTACAATTAAACATTAGCATGTACACTCTGTACAGACTCTCTCTCTCTCTCTCTCTCTCTCTCTCTCTCTCTCTCT